AGAACTAAAATTCATTTGCAAATTTAACACCATTAATCTGGGCTTGAATAGGGACTGGGAGTGGCTGGCTCATTACAGAAGCAGCTTTTCCTCTCCTGGAATTGACACCTCCTCATCTATTATTGGGAGTGGACTACATCCACCCTGATTGAATTGGCTCTGTCAACACTGGTTCTCCACTTGTGAAGTAACTCCCTGCTCTCCATGTGTCAGTATATAATGCCTGCATCTGTAACTTTCACTCTATGCATCCGAAGAAGTGAGGTTTTTACCCACGAAAGCTTATGCCCAAATAAATCTGTTAGTCTTTAAGGTGCCACCAGACTCCTTGTTGTTTTTACTGGATAAGAAGTTGAGTTCAGCAGGATTTGCCAGGTCTGTTACCCCGAGGAGTTCTGCTAGCCTGGGCTGCTGCCCCCATCCCCCTGCTCTGCACTTTGCATCTGGGGAGCAGGTTGAGATGAAGATGGGAACAAACTCCCTTCCCTTCAGGAGGCTGAACACTCGCTGCCCGGCCCGTCCAGCACAGCCAGACACAGGGCGATGGAGATGCTTGTTGTAATACGTTTGCCTGGCAGGAAGGATTCCTGTGACACTCCCAGCCTGGGGGGACCAACACAGCTCAGAGCATTTCATCCCAAGCACAGGATAAACAGCCAAAGGTTCAACAGAGCAATAAAGGGAAGTAAAGTAACTTTCAGTCAGGAACATGAAATGGCCACAAGGTGGCACCAGAACTCCAGCAATAGAAAGGGCCCATGACACTGAATGGCCAGTTGCAACTTAATGCACTTGTAGCAAGGCGGTGGGATATCCCACAGCCCTGCTGAGGGCCAAACCTCCCCTGATACCACCGTGGGCGGAGCCACCAGGTCCAGCGCCCGCCCCTTAGAGGTCACAGCCCCGACCCAGAAGTATAAAAGTCCGCCTGCAGAGCTCAGTGGAGCCCACGCCGGCGGAGAGAGGAGACATCCCCTCCCCCCATCACAGCTACTTGCTCTCAGCCTTAGCCTGGGCTGGGACACACAAGTTTGGGAGAACAATAGCAGCTGAGGCAGCGGTGATCAAAGAACGAGCAGGTCATGCGCCAGGCATGTATTTCCCTGGAGCTGTAATGGGTGCAGTGTGCCGTACGCACTAGTGCTCACACATGGAACGGAGCAGGCCAGTCGGTGCATAAGGTGCTGCTGTGTGTGTTTGATGTGTCTCATTTCAGGGAGCAACTGCAGCTGGGTGGGGCACAATTTCACACCCTGTACAGAGCTGGATATGGGAATACACAGGCCCCCCAAGAGAAAAGCTGCCAGGCCTGTGGGCCCCTTCCAGTATTGGCTAGGATGGACAGGGCACAGCAAGGAGCTTTTCAGTTCTGGGAGCCCCTGACTGGTGCCATCTCCACCATCTGACCCCATTGCGTTCTGGGGGCTCCCTGACCCGCAGGTGTGGAACCCCCCACAAGCTCATAGATCCCACCTTACGCTGGGTGAGCCAGTGCTGCCCATTCCAACAGCCGGCCAGTCCAGCAGGGAGCTGGGACTCTCTGCCTGTAGCAGGGCGGCTGGCACTGATGTAAGGATGGGGAGGCAGTTGCACATTACACAGATGTGCTGGAGCAGCATGTCCCGCTGTGGTACCTTACTGCAGTGCCCGGCACCAGGGCAAGCCCCTTTCTGCACCACTGCAGCCCATCTACGGTAGCAGTTTGCACTGTATCAACGTTGTTACATCAGCACAGAGGATTCCTATTGCAGACAGACCTGGATTCACCCCCCTCTGCCAGCTGCTAACCCTCCTGGGGCCCAGTGATCAGATCCCAGGACAACAGATAAATCCCACCCCTGACAGTCACAGCCCCTCTGCCCCAGACTACTGGCAGATACAGCCAGGTTCATGTTCATCGTAAACAGACGCCCTCTGCACTAGCACCCGCTGTCTAGGTGGGGGAGTCAATAGCGCTACGGGACCCTGCACTGCCGAGGTCACTAACTGGTGGGTTTCACACGGCGTTAATGGCAGTGTCTGTATTGGGTTCTACAGCTCATGTCAGTGACATGCCAGCACCTGCCAGCCCGGGCCTGGGCACGACCCAGGGATGCAGGCAGGCCAGGCTGGTACCTCAGGGCGACACACTGCAAGGCAGAGGGCCCAGCTCATCACTGCCCTGCACCTTCTCCTGTCAATCACCCCCACTCTGCACGGGGGTACCAGTGACTGTACCTGGGGCCCGGCAATAGTGACTTGGGCCCCAAGTGCTCAGAGCTGGGCTGGTGGGAGCCAGTGTCAGTCACAACGTCCCGACACAGAGTGCCCAGGTGCAGGGGTCTGGGAGGGAGCAGGAGGAGGGTTGTGGAGGAACATCCCCCAGGAAATCCTCTGTCCCAGGGGCAGACGCCAGACAGGCCGGGAGGAGAGACTGACTATGGCGGCTCCAGGGGGAATGGAATATGCAGGGGGGGGGAGGGAGGGCTGAGAACTCACCTGCCAGGACAATAACTGTGATGATGAGACCCAAGAACACAACTGCAAGGGAGACTGTACATTTCTTGCCATTACGATGAGGTTCTGAAACACAAAGACCCGTCAGGCAGGGCCGCGAGGACACGTCTCCCTGACAGCACCAGGGCTGGAGCTGCCCTAGAACATGCCCCGTTCTGTTGATGGCTCCTTCCGTCAGATGCTCTGGGAGAGGAGCTCAGAGGGCCAGGTAGACTGGGGCTGGCAGAACAATCCCTCCTTCCCCCTCAGCTCTGTGCCCTCCCTGGGCACCCCCAGCCAGGCTGTCACGGGGCCTGGTGAGCTCAGGGGCACAGAGATAAGGACCCACATGTTCTGGTGGCAGGAGTTCAAGCTGCCCCCCTGCTGTGCCCCCTGCCGAGTGCGCCTGTCCCCGCACACTGGGGTCCCACACTGGCCATACACAGCAGAACGGGGGGAGAACGAACCAGGCAGAGCTGGGTCAGGGCTGTCACAGGGGGTCTGACACACCCAGCCCAAAAGGCCCCTGCACAGCCCCACGGCCACCGCTGGGTGCGCCAGACAGCAGCTGTGAGCCGGGATCGGTGCCCTGAGAGCCCCTTGGGGAGATCCAGTCCCTGCTGCCCACAGGGGGGTTTGCTGGGCACTGGCTGCTGCCACTGAGAACATGGCCCCATGTGGGGCAGCCTCAGTGTCTCTCTCCAGCCTGTTCCCAGGCAGCGATGCCCCATTACCTGGCTCCCTGCCAGTCTCCAGGTGTCCATTGCCATTAACACACAACTGCTGCAGTGGCTCTTCGCTCCCAGCAGCCCCAGCTGCTGGCCCCATTGTCTCTCAGCGACACTCAGGCTACAGACGCTGCTGCAGGCGCTGGGCTGGGGTCGGCTCCTCTCCGTCTGACGGGGTCCGATCCAGCAGCAGCAAAGCCAAGCTGGGGCGAAGATCCTGGCCCTGGTCACCCTCCCTGCTCCAGACTCCCTAGCCAATCTGAAAGCTGAGACAGACAAAGCAGGACAGGTCAGGGTTGGGGGTGGGGAGGCGGGGCGGGGGGGAGAGAAAGGCAATTTGTGGTTTCTTGTTCCCTGCCCAGCAGCCCAACCCCCTGCCAGAGGTGGCGCTGTGATGATTAAACCCCCTTAAACCCCATCAGCCCCTCCACACACACACCCCCCTCCAGAGACCCTGATCTGCTATGGAAACTCTTCCCCCCCGGATCTACCCACTTATGTGGGGGAGAGAAGAGCTCCCTCCCCAGTTCTGCCCCCCCGCCCTTTCTTGGAAGAGAGAGTGAGCAGAGAATCATAAGGGGGCAGCATCCTGGCAAGTGATGGAGGGAGGGGACTGTGATGCCCAGCCACTAGGTGTTTTCCACCAGAGTACATGGGGAGAGGGGGGCATCATTGCCCTGCAACCCAAACACACCAGGGTGTGTGCGTGTGCGGGGGGTGCATATAGCGTGTCCTGACAGTAAACAATGCACCACACCCACTGCAGACCCCAGCTGTGCATTTGCAGAATGTCCCTGGTTTGCCTCCTACATGTACCTACTGGTGCAGCGCATCTGCTTAAGCAGTGGGATCTTAGCCCCAAGCCTGGACTACAAGGAGCGGGGCCTGTCAGATCCTGGCATAGAATAGAATCATAGAATATCAGGGTTGGAAGGGACCTCAGGAGGTCATCTAGCTCAAAGCAGGACCTAATCCCAACTAAACCATCCCAGCCAGGGATTTGTCAAGCCTGACCTTAAAAACCTCTAAGGAAGGAGATTCCACCACCTCTCTAGGTAACCCATTCCAGTGCCTCACCACCCTCCTAGTGAAAAAGTTTTTCCTAATATCCAACCTGGACCTCCCCC